CAACCGCTGGGTGCCGAGAGCTGATTTAATTGTGGATGGCATCTGCGCCCTGCGGTTCCGACATGTAGTCCAACGCCGCCCACAATCCTGAATACCGCAACCGCTGGCACCATCCGCAATTAAATCAGCTCTCAGCGCCCAGTAGGTGCGGAACACAGCAGGGGCTGACTGGCAACTTTTAGCCCAATGGGCAAGTACAACCCGGAGGCCCATGGTGCAGCTACTTGGCCCCCCTTCCCGCTCTGCCTCTTCCCCCGTCTTCTCCTCGCCCCTGCCTGCCACTTTTGCGATCCATGTAACAGTAGTGTGAATGGTCGGGTCATGTGAGGACTCCTAGTAAGTCCATGAAAGGGGTGACAGGCTGGGGGATGGTGCTCTCCTCCCACTGGGCTCCCTACATGGTTCTGGCCTTACTTCGCTCTATGTCTGGTACATAGGCACTCTCCCCCACCCTTAGTTGGCTGACTATACATCCTTGCGCTGGCCCTAGCCTGGTCCAACCCTCCGACAGTCTGTGAGGCTGCAGCTGTCCCAGCAGATAACCGTCCCGGGCACAGTTATCTGCTGGGACAGGGATTACATTTATCTTGCCTTATCTTGCTAGCGCCAGGACTGCCACCACTGTTAGCGGGGGGGACACATGGGGGGGAAAGTGATCACCTAGGGGGGGCAACTGCCCCCTTGTAGCGACGCCACTGGGGTCACGGGAGGACATATACTAGCATCCTCCCGGGACCCAAAGCTCAGTATATAGCAAGCTACAGCTCACGGTATACGGAGACCACCGCAGTCGAGATCCACCCAGCTGCATGAATGACAGCTGGCTCTGCCTATCTAGAGGCAGAACCAGCTGTGCCTGCCCCCTCCCTGTATGTTCTTCCAGTCAGCACTAGAGGATCGGAGCTGGGAGGAGGGGGAATCTCTGCGGGGGTGGTGACTGACAGTCACTGCTCTCTGCAGGGACAGGATCGAGAAGTGAGCAAGCGACGGTATGCGTTCCCTCACTGCTCAATCTATTGAGCTGACGTGTGACAGTTTCATTGTCACACGACGGCTCGAACTATGAGGCTGAGTGATTTTCACTCACCTCATAGTTCTCCTTCAACTGCTCTTTTTGCCTAGGCCAAAAAAATATATACTCACCCAATCCTTGGTTCAGAGATGACCCTCTGTGTCCTAATGTCCTATAAACTGTATTCGATGTGATGACTCACAGGACCTTAGACCACTGCAGGGACTGTTGACCTTCAGCAAAAATGAGCAGTTTACTCTTGCACTGCAGGGTAGCCCCACTGCAAGCGTTAATACAATTTGTGCCTGGAGTTCTTCTTAATAACTCATTTTTTCTTATGATCCTTTGCTCATGCTATTGGCCATCATGCTGTATTTTCCCGATATTACATTAGACCCTCAAGGGAAAATTTATATTCATGTACATGCACAGAGCAAATGTACGTGAATTTGTTCATAAATGCACATAAATGGTTCTGCAAATGCACCTCTAAGTGCAATTTATCATCTCCAACTAAAATGCCCATTCCAAAGTTTACTTAAACCATGTTTAGCAACTTTTTTCAGGTCTTTATTCCTTAACGTGTATACAAGTGGATTAATCAGCGGGCAGGCTATAGTGTACAGCATTGATAGAAATTTAGTGATGTTCCAGGATGATCCTCTACTGGGTACCAAATAAACAAAAGCTGGGCTGCCATAATAGATGGAGACAACAGTCAGGTGAGAGCTGCATGTTGAGAAAACTTGCTGCCTTCCATTAATAGAACTTATTTTAACAATGGTGACTATAATATAAACATAGGATACAATGATGATTAGAAATGGGATAACAACAAGAAGGACACTCAACAGTTTTACTTGTAGTTGAACGATAGCAGTATCAGAGCAGGACAGTTCAAGAATTGGATCAAGATCACAGAAAAAGTGGTCAACAGTGTTGGTACCACAAAGTTGTAATCTGTACATGGCAAAAGGATGTACCAGCACAATTATAAAGCTTAAAGTCCAACAGGTAACAACCAATACACAACAACATCGGTGGCTCATTAACAAATTATAATGCAATGGTTTACAGATGGCCAAATATCTGTCGTAAGACATCACTGTCAGGAGAAGACTGTCCACCATTTCTGCAACACAAAAAAAATAAAACTGGGTGATGCAGGCAGAAAATAGTATTACTGTATCTTTCATCAACACCACTTGCATTGTATTTGGAAGAATTGTGGTTGCGAGCAAGATATCTGACATAGCGAGGTGGGAGAGGAAGAAGTACATGGGAGATTGGAGGGTTTTGCTGTAGGACACCAGCGTAATGATCAGGAGGTTCCCACAGAAAGTAACGCAATAAGTTATAAGAAAAAGAAAAAATACCAAAAGTTTAACTTTTTCTGGAGTCTGAAATCCTAAGAGGCAGATTGTCGAGATTCTGGTCACATTCTTATCCTCCATAATCTGGAGATAGAAAATTACAATTTGTGATGTCACTTGTTCAAGTATTATTTTTATTGATGATGACAAGTAGGACATATAGTCATCAGAGTTTGCAAAAACATTATACATTGATGTGACACTACATTCCCAAGTTAAATCTTAAAAATACATTCAGTTAAGTACCTTAACTATTAATAAAAATGTATCTTATTTGTGTATCACTCGGCTGTAGATCCTCCAATCATCTCTGAATTGGTGCTGACACTTTCCTTCCTTCTGGAGGGGGGGCTACTTTTGTTCCCAATGATACCTGTGTGTGTTGTAAAGTAGTCACCGCTCCAAGCTCGCTCCCGGGATGGACTACAATCTCATATTTAGCTTACTGATTTGTACTGAGATTGTAGTCCATCACAGAAGTGAGCTTGGAGCGGTGAATACTTTACAACGCACAACGCACGGATCATGGTCCCTCTTACTCCTGAGTTCTGTGTCACTTAAATTGTGGTGGCCAAGTGCATGTAAATCCACCTAACCAACTGCTCAGTGTCTGCAACCCCCCTCTTTCAATCCCTACACTGGCTTCTAATTGCCCAAAGGATACAATTCAAAATATTAACAACCACTTACAAAGCCATCTACAACTCTTCCCCCAGCTATATCTCCAACCTTGTCTCAAAGTATCACCATCACCGTCCCTTCCACTCTTCCCAAGACCTCCTGCTTTCCAGTGCCATTGTCAACTCCTCTCATGCTTGCCTCCAGGACTTCTCTAAAATATCTCCCATCCTCTGGAACTCTTTACCCCAACCTGTCCATCTGTCTCCCATTATGACTGTCTTTTGGCGATCTCTAAAGACTCATCTCTTCAGGGAAAACTATCCCACCTCTAACTAACCCCTCAACCATCATGTTCTCAAACAATTCATCCCACACATGCTACCTCCTCATGTATCACTGGCCCCCTCTTTTATATTGTACGCCCTAACGGGCAGGGCCCTCCTTACCATCTTGTCTTGAATTGTATTGTGATTGTAATGTCTTCCTTAAATTGTAAAGCGCTGCACAAACTGTTGGCGCTATATAAATCCTGTATAATAATAATAATGTAAACCACAACAATTAACTTCTCTTATTTGTTCCTTTTGTTCTGTTATGTCTGTCAGATAAGTGGAACAAACCTATTGATCCTGCCAGAAATCTACTCAGCTGATGACTTCTGCCTCTGCTTTACTGTTATTAGTTAAATTGTTACCAGCTATGTAGGAGCACTATAAAACAACTTTCTCCTATGTTATTGAGAAGAGGAGAAGGGGGTAGTGTTTGTAGTCCAAACCGGGAGAACATACTAGAGTGGAACCACTGCTCTTCCTTGGCTATGGACCAGTGAGTGATCATTGTCACCCTAGGGGAGGAAGTGTGTTTTATCTAATGACCACTGGCAGGGTCATTAGATAAAACAAAACAAAAAAGACAGTTCTCTATTGTATCCATGGTGGGAGCCATGATTGTCTCCATTACATGGTGAATTGATGGGAGTAGCAGTTAGCACAAGAAACATTTCTGGCATCAACTGGTATTTTCTGTACCTGCTGAACATGTTCTTAGCGTGAAAAAAAAAACAATTGCAGCCACCAAATCTAGGAAGTAGTAAGCTAGAATATTACATTTTTGCTTCTGTGTCAAAATAAACGTTAAGAAAAAAGAAAGGAGAAAAGGATAGAGGAAGAGAGAGAAAGAATATAGAGATAGAGTCCCATGCAGGACCGGGCATTCATACTTGGGGCTGCATTCAGTCTGACTTCCAACTAACAATATACTATCAACAGTATACAAAGCCATTCGCAACTCTACCGCAAGCTACATCACCAACCTAGTCTCAAAATATCACCCAAGACATCTTCTTGACTCTTCTCAAGACATTCTGCTATCTATGTCTGTGAAGGTTCTCATTCATCCAGGTCATGGTAAAAAATAAGTCAAGGCAACTGGACTTGCTGTATTTTTCTTTAAGACGTTTCACTGGTCATCCAACCAACTTTCTCAATTCAGAAAGCTGGCTAGATGACCAGTGAAATGTCTTCAGGAAAAACACAGCAAGTCCAGTTGCCTTGACTTTTTTTTTTACAGATATTCTGCTATCTAGCTCCCTGGTCACCTCCTCTCATGCATGCCTTCAGGACTTCTCCAGAGACTCTCCCATCAGAACTAATTTCTTTGGATATCCCTCACTATGTCCACCTTTAGACAATCCCTGACAATGTATCTATTTAGAAAAGCCATCCCCGCCTCTGCCCAAAAACTGAACCCTTATTTTTTACATCAACCACCCCCCACAACTATTACCTTTTTTATCACCTTCCCCTTCCTAATGACAATAAGGTTGTGGGTTACTGCATTTTGTAGCATTCAACTAATATCAACCGTATAATACTAAATATCTAGGTGATAAAATGCACAAAGGTTTGTCAAGACTTGTGTAAGTGGACTTTGTTTATGAACATTGACTTTTTCATTTAACTTAAAGTGTAACTAAAAGCAAAACGTTTTTTAGTTTTGGACAAAGTGGTGAGAGGTTAGAACCTCTGCCATGCTGATATTGCTGTCTGTATCCCAGTTAGGAAGACTCACTCTTTCTTATTGTCCTGGTCACCAGTGGAACCAGGAATAAAAGTGATAGGTAAATTCAGAACTTTGAGTTGCCACCAGAACAGGAACAGAGTGGAAATCTTCCAATGGGGACACTTGTTCTAGTGAAAACTGTCTAAGATGGGATTTTGATTACATAGGAAATATATCCTCACACTACTTGTTGAGTCTACTGGACAGGAAGTGAAGGGATATCTCCCTAAAGAAACACAGATGACAAATATTGTGGCTTTAACCCTTTCCTACTCTATCTAAAATGAAAAAAAAATGTTTTGTCTTTAGATACACTTTAATGTTATTCAAACTCTATTTGAACACAAAACATAGGAAGGGATGGGTTTGATCTGCTTTTCCTGCAACACAAATGCATCTCAATAGGACCTACTGTGTAAACAAAAAAATGTAAACACTACAACTCAGTTGTGGCCTCAGGCTGATTATCTGCATTACACAACTCAATGGAATAGAAATCATCAGAGTGACAAATAAAGTGTACTTCAAATGCATATCCAACAATAACTTTCTTACTGCTTTGTATACCAAAATTATTTTCACACCATTTTTTTAGGTTTGATAAAGGAGTCTTCTAAAATGTTCCAATGGAGCATTTTTCCTCATTGATTCTCAGACCTTGAACACCTCTTAAAAAATGTTGAAAATGTACTTACCCTATTTAAAAGAAAGCACGTGTTAGATGTATACATAAAGGTTTATTAATAGTGGTCTAAAACATAAGTGCAGTCAGAAATGTTGGTCATTTCAATGCTGAAACTGTCTGATCTCGCTGCTTATTGTGGCTTTTAAAGGAAATTTAACAACGTGCAGCGAGCCACTGGGAGTCTGAGGTGCTCAGTGATGTTTTCATGGGAAATCCCATTGGGAAATAATTTTTATGGTTATTGATATGAGTAATTAGCAATTATGAAGAGGTGTAAAAAAGAATGAGCAGAATAATGCGTATCCTCATGGTTTTGAATCCTTCAAAGAGAAGTAAAGTCAAACCTTCTTTTTGTCTTTATCTCTAATTTGGGTCAAAGAAATACACAATCTCTATTTTGGGACAAAGGAATTTTCGGTCAAAGGAATTTACATTTCAACATAGAACTGCACTGGAGCTGGGAAGGATCAGCTGGGTGCCACCACTGGAGGGGGGACACCAAAATGACTGAATGGTGTCATCCCCTATGAAAAGTCGGGCACTTGGTCATGGACCAAGACCCCGACAGTGTCAGGAGAGCAGAGGGGACCCGGTGGCATACCTCATCCCGCCAGTTGAACGCCCTGCTACTCTCTCGGCCATCTTGGTGATGGGTGCCATCACCACCTCCTGCAACATTTTCAGGAGGTGGGACATTGTAGCAGTGGGTCATAGTGAGTGACACTGAGTCTACATTATTGTATACAATTATGGACACTGGATTTATATCATGGAACATTATCTACAAATGGATCTTTTGCATCCCCATTAGGAAAAAATAGTCATGACCCCCATGAATGGTAATCCTACCAGGTGCATATCTTGCTCAGTCTATGCACCCCTTGATCACCCGAACACAGGCTCATACTGTGGTGTGAGATTTGAGCTAGTTGTTTACTTGGAGGCCCATATCCTGGATCAAAAATTCAACTGGCGACAATAAGTATTAACATCATGGAGAGGAGTTTAGACGTTACACATCGGGTGCTGGCTTTGGCTGGTAAAGAGGAGGGGGCAATATGGGTAACAGTTAGAAGATGCGGTAGGGAGTAAAAAAAAAACATTTCTGTGCCTTTTAGAACTGTTGTGGCTGCAAATTCTACAGGTTAATTCAAGCCTATTAATGCTGTATGAAAAATCAAGTGCAGCCATAAGCACCTAAAAACACTGCTTTTCATATTAGGGTGCTGCTGCTGTATTTTAGCCAAACTAAATGCAAAAGTTAAAAAAATAAATTTCACATACAAAATATGTGATGTTAGAATACAGTGTTTCTGACATGAGAATCCTTCTGTTCCCTAACACCGCAGCTTAACCGCTTGCAGACCAGATGTTTAGACCCCCTTCCTGTCCCGGCCATTTTTCAGTATTCAGCGCTGCGGTACTTTGACTGACATTTATTCCGTCATGCAGCGCTGTACTGAAATTAATTTTATACACATTTTTGGGTACATATAGAGCTTTCTTTTGGTGGTATTTAATCACTACTGAAATTTTTATTTTTCACTATATTTCAGAACATTTACTGAAAATTTTGAAAAATGTTTGTTTTTTTTACATTATATTAGGACACAATTATTATTATTACCCAATTATTTGGTAAAATATAAAAGACGGGGTCACGTCAGGTAAATAGACACCAAACATGTCATGCTTAAAAATTGCGTGCACCCGCGAAATCGCAAAAAACTACCACACCCAAAATTTACCATAGGCGACGCTTTAAAAGTAGGGATGCACAGATACTTTTCGAGTACCAGTGCAGATACTTGGCATTTTCATGAGAACTACCAGGGTTGCAGCGGTTGCAGCGGTTGCAGCTGGGACCTGGCTCTGGCACTCCCCCACTGTCCTGAAATCATTAGTCTATAGCATGTAATAGAATGGAATGGTGTTTTCATATTTCATCTACTAAGTCATATAAAATAGACCCTCATGTCACCCATTGCTGTGACCATCTCCCCATGACCTTTGTTTGACAATACCTTGACTAATAGACTTGAAAATGGACACAATTGACTTGTTTTACCAACATCTTCTTATTCAACAGAGCCTTCTATGGGTTGTGTGTAAGGTTACAATGCAAGAGGGTTCTATTGAGGTTGCATGCACAAATCCAAAGTTTCTGTACCTTGGCACGTATCTTTGAAATATGAAGCCTGGAACCAATAGAGGCACAACCCCAAAAACAATTAGGGGAGAAAGTGATAACATATTTTGCAATTCCACTGTTGGCTACAATCTCAATACAAATCAGTAAACTAAACGTGAGATTGTAGTCCATCATGGGCATGATCTTGGAGCGGTGACTTCTTTACAACACACAAAGGGACCATGGGGTACAAAAGTAGCCCCTCCTCCAGAAGGAAGGACAGTGTCAGCATCAATTCAGAGATGTGTGGAGGATCTACAGCCGAGTGATACACAAATAAGATACATTGTTGTTCATAGTTAAGGTAGTTCAAAGCAATTTTAAGATTTAACTCCAGAGTTTAGTGTCACTTGGAGAACAGCTACTTCAATTTCCTTTAGGAAGCAATGAAGCTACAGCCATAGGGGGTCAGAGACTTGTTTATTGTATTTGAAGGTAAAATAAAAAAATCTTAAAGGCTAAGCTCTAGGAGCAGACAAAACAAGAGGCAACTTACAATGTCAAAGGTCAAAAGCATCATATAAGCAGCAATGACAACATAGTGCATATGTTCTGGTGAGTATGCTCTGGTGACCATGTATATGGTCTGGTGATTATAACTTTTTTTAGCACCTAGACAAAAGTGAACACCTAACCCTTGCAGTGCAAGGGTAGCCACACGGCAAGGGTTTATAATTTTTTCCTGGAGTTCTTTTTTAAGTAATGACTGGCTGTAGGGACATTAGCAACATATGAGCAAATAAAGTATTGGGCAAACCAGTGGTATTACATTTAGCAGCAAAAGGTCACTAAAAGCAAAATGTTGTTTCAAAGTAGGGTGCTGGCCTTGCATTCTTGAACCATAATGTCATACAGAAGGATCCCAATCACATGGATCAGGAGCAAGGATTAAAAAAAAATCAAAATAAGTCTATCAAGGGACAGTGAGGCTAAACTAGCACACTTTTGCTGTTTTAAGACTAATGCTCACATGCATTACCCTATCACCTGTAAGGCAAGGATCAAGCTACAAGTGATATGGGCAGTAATAAAGCCGTCTGATCAATATATAGTTCCGCAAATTTCACAGGCATTGGAACTGCCTGCTCCTCATCTGACAGCAGATCCTGTCTAGTCTAGCAGTTGTTGCTGGGAAAAAAAAGCCCTGCTGGAGAAGAATAGGACAGTATTGGTTAGTCTAGTCTTTACAGCTTAACACCCAGGTGAATGCAGACATCGGTCCCTCTCCAAAAGCCCCTCATCCTTGAAGACACACATTGCAGCATTGCCTCATGCCCAACCCTGACCCTGCTCACATCTGTCCTTTCCCTGCTCAATACATCCCTAACATTCATTACTCCCCAGCCACCTCACACTCCCCATGTCTCCTTGGCTTCACTCCTGCTAAGTTACATACATACATCCCTGGATGTCTCACATGCCCATGCTGACAAACCTTCTTACCCCAACTGCCTCATATGCCCTCTTATCTGCCTTCTATTTCTCTGTGCATAGCTGCCATACCCCCATCTACTGACATCCATCCCTCCTCATGCTGGCACACATTTCTCTTTATCTACTTCCCCCAAAAATTGGCATACATTTGTCCTGACTGCCTCACCCCCCTCACTGCATCTCAACCCCCCTTAACAGATATCCCTCAATGGCCACTTCCCTTTCCACTGACACACATTCCTCTCTGGTCTCTTCACCCTGGCCTGCTAATACACATTCCTCCCCAGCTTTCTTAAACCCCCATAAATACACTTCCCTCCCAGGCCAACTAACTCTCCCACCAACAGAAATCTTTCCCAAGCCACTTTATCCCTATCCCCACTCTGCTTACAACAACTTTAAATTGACTGGGTGAAAAGTAGAGGCACCCAGTTGACAAAAGCTTTATGACAGAAGCTGTACTTAACGTAACTTCCTTCCCTCTAACTTCATACCTCCCTGCTGGCCCACATACAGCATCTCACCATCTTCCTTCCACATTGGATTCCACTTCCCTTACCTCTTGTCATCATACTACCTTCCGCTCACACACATTCTATCACTGTACACAATGATGAGGGTGAGATGGTGGGCAAGAAGAGTGGGTTTGGGGGAATGGTTGTTACAACAGGAACCAGCGACAGGAAGGTAAAATACCAGAGCTCTGGATTCAAACCTTCTCACAACCTTTTACCTCTTAGCCAAAAACTATGTAAGTTAAAAATAATTTTCATACTTAACTAAATCTGTGATCACATGATGCTATTTTCTTCCTTGTAAAAAAGAGAGTTCTTCTTTGCATGTCCATGTCAATGTCTTAGTAACACTTTATATTGGCTGTCCAGTGGCAAGGTTCTCTAAGGATCCCAAAGGTCGCAGTGAAGTAATGACATCTTGAAGAGGTAATCAGTCCGTGTGGGTACAGACCGCAACATAGTAACACCAGTCAACATACCCAACAGTGATGGCAGTGAGGTACATGGACAGTGTAATACGTTGAGTTAATAACTGCTATTGAAGGGTATTCTTAAAAGAAAAAGAAAAAACTTTGTGGGAGAGTGGAAGGAAAGAGGATTTTTTTTTTGGAGGGGGGGAATCATTTTTTTATCTGTCTGAAGTTAGGCTTTAAAGGGTTAATTCACCTTTTCACAAAAAATGAAAGTGATGTGAGAAAAATACACCCTCCTCGTCCCTACTGACCATCACCCTCTGCCCAACCAGCTGGTAAACTGTTCCAATACTTAAAGACAAGCCTATCCATAGATTAAATTGCTATCACATGGGGGGCTTGGGGAACCTTCTCTCCAGGCTGACAACTGATCTCAGTCATTGCCTTATTGTAGATATACATTTTAAGTGCAGAGATCTGTAACAACCTCATCCAGGAACCAGGAAGCGTGTATTATAGAAAAAATAGAAAAAATCAGTATACACTATAAACACCTCAACGCATTTCGTACTTATAGGGATAAACTTACTTGCACAACGTGTCATTCATATAAAAATTCAGCATGTGATTATGTATTTGCTGAGGAAGCAAATATATTATGCAGCTAAACAAGATTAAAACTGTAGTTGAAGTTCAAAATGGTTGCATGATTTTCCAAGATTTTTTAGTGGGAGAAATTGTTGGCGTAGACTTGGGGGGTTGATTTGCTAAAGGTAAATAAATGTCTCTTAGCTTACATAGTATTTGAGGTTGAATAAAGACATAAGTCCATCAAGTCCAACCTATTGCTGATGTGTGCGTATGTATAGGTCTGTGTATCATCTCATTCTTAAGAGTACCTGTACCCCTGTATAGTACGGTCTCTCAGAAAATTGTCCAAAAGCTTCTTGAATGATTCCACACTCTTAGCTGAAATCACTGCCTGTGGCAACGAGTTCCAGACCCTAAGCGCTCTTACTGTGAAGAACCCCCTTCTCCCCTTGTGCTGGAATTTTTTTTCCACCAATTTTAGGTGGTGATCTTTAGTCTTTGATATGGAGTTATTCGTAAAGAGTTTGTTGCTATTGTTGCTACCACTTCTGAACATCTTGTACATGAA